GTAGCCTCTTGCGTCTTAGTAGCATTATCGCCTTGCTTGGGGTGAATTCCTTAAAAATAAGATAAACCTAAGAAATTTTTCTCTCATGTTTCTGGCATGATGAACTTTATTTAGCTATGCCTTGGGTCGGAAATTTAAGTAAGCTTAGACAAATGACAAGAAGAACTTTAGAAAATAGACGCCTTGCTGAAAAGGTTGTTTTTTTTTTTTGTATAGAAATTCTATAGAGGTACGATAAATATTATGACTTAAGTTATCTCTTGTTCGTAGTGAGGGTATTGGGCTAGTCTTCTAAATAGCATAAAGCGTAGACTCAATATGATAAAACTTTGGAAATCTTGAGTAACGAACGAAAGAGACACTGGCTCTTTTTTAAGGACATTGTCGAAGAAGGGCGCCAAACTGAAGTTTTTTTGTTTAAAGAAATGCGGCAGTTTTTTTGTGTAGACTCTTATTTGTTTCCGGAATTGGCACACAAAGGTCAAGAAGGGAGACGTCAAAACTAACATAATTGCCTAAAGCGGGATTTTGAAATATCATTATCATAATCATCAATCTCCTCCCACTCTCTTTCTCTCTCTCTCTCTCTATATATATATATATATATATATATATATATATATAGGTAAAAAGTAACATTTTTAGAAGATCTCTACAAGAACTTGGTGAATAGAGAAGGTAATACGATTTGGAAAAAGCACCTAACACACACACATATATATATATATATATATATATATATATATATATATATATATATATATATATATATATATATACATAAGGGCCCAAACACTAATATTCTATGGTTATCATTTATTACATTGAGATCACGATTCAGACCGACAAATTCAAAATTTGAATTTTAGGTCTGATGAATTGGATCGTGATTACGATTCCAATGTAATAAATTATAACCATGGAATATTAGTGTTTGAGCCTTTTATATTATATTCTTACTCTGTCCTGGATTGAGGTCTATCCGGATTCCATCCTTTTGGAAATTTATATATATATATATATACTCGACTGTCCCGTCGAATTCGACGTATGAAGGTCAAGCAGATCTGTTCCCAGGAAACCGACAGCCCGACAACAGCACATGAGATTTGATTATAGTGGTGAAGGTTTCGTGCAGGACCATCCACAGTTTTTGAAGGGCCGAACACAGAAACCTGGTGCACGACGTGCCACAAGGTCCCCAAACGACCCTCCGCAGTTGTCCTTCTCCTGGACCAGTTGCCATCCAAGGCTATAGAACCCAGTCTGTCCTGCTATTTACCCATAGCTGGAGGGAGAAGAAGAGGATTCGCACCTTTCCCAAGGGTATTAGCACATAAGTGAATGTAATGGATTCGACTGGAATTGAACTCGCCTCTCCGATTCCTCGATCCAAGCTGCTTCTCCCTTTCCCCCACCGTGCCTCTCTCTCTCTCTCTCTATATATATATATATATATATATATATATATATATATATATATATATATATATATATATATATATATATATATATATATATATATATATATAGTATAGCGCAGATAAATACAGAATTGTTCCGTGACTCAAGCGCCATGATGTCACGAGATTTCGAGAACGCAATTAGAAAGTACTATTCCTAAGTAGCTGCCTGGCCATTAACACGCGAGGTGCTTAGTAATCGACGTTTTCAGAATATGGTCGTCATTGTTGTGGGGCGCTTCCTCGTCGGCTATAAAACCAAGGAAACAATTGAAAGGTTTAAATAACCTAAAAACATGGTCTCCTTAGCTTGCAGAGGTATATTGGACCTCAGTCGACAAGGACAATTTAAGGTCAGAACGCAAGGCTCATAAGAAGCCCTCTGGCGGCGCCAGGACGCCCAAGTTCGACGCCGATGTTGTCGAGGAGAACCTCAGCAAAAGCATGAAGAAAATCCCCAAGGAAATGAGTACCAGCGAGTGATCACCGGTGGTATTGTCAAGTACTTGAATTATAAAACTTATATGCTCAAGAAGCCCCACTTGCTTACAGCACAACTGGTCGAACTACTTATGGCCCCACTCATCGCCAGACTGCAAACCTGTCGACTTTTTTGTGTGGGGCGTTTTAGAGACATAAGTGAACACCAAGGATTCTTTTAAGGCAGCCATCAGAGATGCTATTGGCAACATGGATAGAGACGCTGTCGCCAAGGCCTGCTCTAGTTTCTGGTCCCACCTGGAGAAAGTGGTAGCCGCCGATAATGAGCCCCATCGAGTGATTTTGCCTCCATTCATCTTCCCACGAGGTTTCAGAACACAGAGATCTACATCAAGTGTCTCAAGGAGGTAGTGCTGCCCTGGGTCAAGAGGGTGACTGCTGGAAGAACCTATGTCTGGCGACAGGACTCCGCACTATGCTACAAAAACAGGGAAATTCAGTCATAGTTGTCAGTCAATATCTGCGACCACATCACCCCTTACAGCTGGTCACCTAACTCCCCAGACTGCAACCCCTTGATTGTTCTTAGCGAGAGACCAGCAAAAGACCTTGTAACACTAAAGATGAACTGAAGGCAAGGATTATGGCAGCATTCACCAACTTAAACAAGGAGATTCTCCAGAAGAGTTGCAGGGGATTCCGAAGTCGCCTGGAGGCCGTGGCTGAAGCCAATGGCGATTTTGTTGAATAAATTTACTCTTTAGTTTTTCAAGATATTTTTTGTGTAATTTTGGTAAATATATCTGTTAAAATGAAATGCCAGTATTTTTTTTTTCAATTTTTGGTGTCACTTGGACGACAATTTATCCATCGCACCCTTTAGATATACAGTTTGACTGAAAAGTAACTCCCTATTCTTTGTATGATGGACTCTCCCGTCCGACTATATTCTTTACAAGACTGGAGAGTCCATCATACATAAAAATAGGGAGTTACTTTTCAATCTCCCTGTAGATTCGTAGAAGTCCCAACGAGCAATACACATTCGTTAAATAGGTAATTTATTCTTACATATTCTTCACTATCGACTCAAGTACAAACTGGACCAATGTCCTGTCATCTACTAATTTATTGTGATCTTTGTCCCATGATGCATCAACAGGTGTTGATATGCTCATAAATTTATTTAAAAAAAAAATCTTACTGAATATATAAACACTCACATTTACATTTTGCGCGATTTAAATGTGCGTTAATAGCTTAAATTCCTTTTTAACAATATAACCATGATTCAGGCGCTGGCTTTGATCCTGAGGCCATGCAAGTAAAAGTGCGGTGGTACAGCATGACATGGCGTTTTCGGTCATCACAGACAATGATAGCAAGGTATGTATTCCCGTGGCGACTCCGTTCGGTCCGCGCATCAACTTTCAGTTGATCGCCTTCATTTTGCCAGTTTCAATAAAGCTGGCTATCATCAAAGCCACTGTGTTAGTACAGTTAGCGCCGTGTAGCTTTTTTTTCTTAATTCTCTGACAGACCGACCGACAAGCTGATAAGGTAATTCTCTCCGTATGTCTTAAAGAGAACTTTGAATGCACAAATCTATAAAATCGTTTATTTGTGTCCATATGTGCTATTTGTGATTTGCATTCTCCTATCATTTCTCATGTAGAAATTCTTTAGGTCAATTCTTTAGGTAAAGTCCGTTACTAATCAATGATATTTTCTGATTAGCATTCGGATTTTTTTTGTGTGCGTGTTTTTATCACAATCTTTCAGTCGTGGATCTTAGGGAAAAAAAAGAGAATTGACAATTTGAAATAAATAACAGTATGTCAGTGTGTCACACTTTTCCAATTTTAGTCCTAGAGGCCATAGTCCAATATATCATACAATTTTGGAATCAGGTCGGCTCCATGAGCAAAATTAAAGTACAATCCTGAAATTTTGGATTCGCAAGTTTTCGATTGTTTTCTGCGAATTTTTTTACCTGATTTTTTTTTTGCGATGATTTCTTTTGTACGATAATAATTTGGAAATAAATTTGGGAATAATTGAAATTAATTATGAAATCCAGCGAAGTCACCCATGAAATAAAAATAAATTGTTTGTAAGGAAAGTAAGGACCTACGTACACCAAATTGTCTTTAAATTAAGTGGCAGCAAAAGAATTGTTGTTGAACCTTTAAAAGGTAAGCTTAAGTATTAATGCAATACTTAAATTTGGCGACTAATTTTGAGTTCTTCAGTAGTTAATAGTTGCCTATCTCATACGGCAGCAATATGCGACCCCAAAAGAAATTTACGTCAACAGAGGACCAGATTGCGGTCAAAGGAGCCAAGGCTGGTTCGAGGAAAAGAAAGTCCTGCGCAAATGAAAACCCAGATCAAACGGCAGAGCTAGGATTGCTTCCATAGGGGTAAAGACTTAGGAGCTCTCAAGCCTAAGGCCGAATCAACAGTCGAGAGGACAGATTTTAAGGTAGTATATATATATATATATATATATATATATATATAATTAGGTTGGTGCAAAAATAATGACATAATAATGTCATTTTTTTGACGTTAAAAAATACATAAAAAAACGACATTATTACGTCATTATTTCTGCACCAACCTAATATATATATATATATATATATATATATATATATATATATATATATATATCAGTGCACGCGTTTCGAAAATAACTAGGTTTGGTCCTTTGAGATGTTAAGGATATATGAGATGGAAACAGAAAGTAGAATGCGTGATAGGTAGATATGTAGGTAGGTCACTTTTTTTAAAATAAGCCAAGTGGAGATGGAGGTTGGCGTGGTGGGTCTGTGAGTACCTGTCGGCAGCATTGGCAGTTGTAGTAATCCGGCGTGTCTTATCAGTCTTATCAGGGACGCTAGCCAAAACGATGTCACGCACACACACACACACACACACACACACACATACACACACAAACACACAGAAGACATAGGTGCAGAGACGTACATTAGTACAACGTGTATTTATAGCTAGTTACTAAGCTTAACTTCGACTGACTACTAGTGCAGAGCACTCAGTGAGAATCAAACTCACCATATCACAGTATTC